TTTGAAGATATAACAAAACCCAGATACCCAAGTACTGCTCTGGAGTTGAGATAAAAATGTTGACAATCCCACTCTTTTTTCCACTTCCAGGGTCAGGAGACTCTGGATCCCACAGGATCTTGGTTCCCCTTTGGGGAGGCAGGGGGCTGCCTTCTCCTGGTCCCATAGAAGCCCGTTTAAGTGATTTGGCCTCCACAGGGCGCCATATAGACTCAAATAAAAGAACATCATAAACAAATAAAACCAAACCCACACAGCTGAAAACGAGCACATATCACGTAGTCATCACAAGTCATGTAGACTTCGCAGACATTCCCCTGAACTGATCGGGACTTCTGCACTGACGGGACCCACAGCCCTCTCACTCCCTTCTGTGTGTCTGGCCAAGCGTCTTCCTCTCTTCCCAGAGCGAGTAACAAACAGAAGCACCCTCTGGGGACTTGTGGCATGTTGGGGCTAACCTCTAACCCCTAACACTAACCTTAGCACCTCCCCAACCCCAACTCTCAGCCTTCAGGCTGGGGTCTTTCAACATCTCCCCTCTGCACCACAGTGTCTCGGAAAAGGCCATTCTTATCCTCCCAGGCATCTGGGCACAGGATTCAAGCACCTCTCGCTGTTTCTGAATGTTTTCCCTGAGGTGGGTGAAGCGGCCTCTGTAGGGAGATGCCCTGGTTTTCCAGGATGATTTCAGCACCCCCATCTCCACACACTTAGAAGTCACTGGCATTCCTGGTTCTGATTTTTAAGAAGCGAAGCCCTTCATGGCACTTAAATTTCTAGTTTTTCTTCCTGTTGTTGATTTCGTTTTGTGGCTTTTCATTTAAGGTGGTGTATAGTAACTGTGTAATGGGGAGTATCATATCCAGACATGAGGACACAAAGCAGTATGCATCTCTACTTCCAGACTAAAGATGGACTCCCAGGGAAACTGCTGGACTCTGCCATTGTCTATGCCTGCAACAACAGACTTCTGACTACTTATGAAGAACTATACTATAATAATACTATAATAATATAGGGGAAATCAGTGTGGGGGTAGGGTTTGGGTAAGGGGTGATAGAAATCCCAGTGCCTATGGAACTGTATCATAGAATAATAATAATAATAATAGGGTCCAGCACGGTAAACTAGCAGTTAAAGTTCTCGCCTTGCATGTGCTGGGATCCCATATGGACGCTGGTTCTAATCCCGGTAGCCCCACTTGCCATCCAGCTCCCTGCTTGTGACCTAGGAAAGCAGTAGAGGACGGCAAAGCCTTGGGGCCCTGCACCTGGGTGGGAGACCCAAAAGAGACTCCTGGCTTGCTCCTGGATTCAGATTGGCTCAACTCCAGCTGTCAGTACAGTTCTGGTCAGTGCAGCTGCTTGGGAAGTAAATCAATGAACTAAAGATCTTCTTCTTTATCTCTTCTCCCCTCTATATATCTGACTTTTCAATAAAAGCAAAATAAATCTTTAAAAAGTAATAATAAATGGAGGGGAAAAACAGTTAAAAAAAAGAAGAAGAAGAAGAAGCAAAGTCCTGGGACTTTTGCCTTGGTATAGTTGGCTAAGCTAAGCCTCTGCCTGCAACTCCAGCATTCCATATAGGCACCAGTTTGGGTCTGGGCTGCTTCACTTCCTATCTGGCTCTTCTACTTATGGTCTAGGAAGCAATGAAGAATGGTTCAAGTCATTGCAGTCCTGAACCCGAATGGAGATCTGGAGGACACTCCTGGTTCTTGTTTTCAGATCAGCCCAGCTCTGGCCATTGTGACCACTTGGTGAGTAAGCCAACAGAATAGAGATGCCTCTCTCTCTTGTTCTGTGTGTGTGTGTGTGTGTGTGTGTGTGTGTGTGTGTGTGTAGGTGTCTCCTGTCACTGAGATTTTTCAATGAAAATAAAATAAATCTTTAAATATTTATTTGCACATGGCCATAATGGCCGAAGGTAAGCTGATCTGAAGCCAGGAGCTTCTTCCAAGTCTCCCAAGCAGGTGCAGGGTCCCCAAGGTTTTGGGCCGTCCTCCACTGGAGCAGCTGGAATATGAACCTGCGCCCCCTGGGATCCTGGCACTTGGAAGTGAGGATTTAGTCACTGAGCCATAGTGCCAGACCCAAAAATAAAATACATCTTAAAACAAAACAAAAAAAAAAGCAGCACAGTTCTGAGGTCCCTATAGGCTATCACAGAGAATGGAAAACTAACATTACTATTTCAGAAAACCAGAAGGAACTGTTCGTTTACTTAAGATAAAGCTTCCCTGGCTACTGATGTCGTTATGGTTTGACAACAACCATGTCAGTCGTCTCATGAGAACATGCATGTATTATTGACTTACCAAATACAATTTCCTAGACAAAATCTTTCCACAGCAGGGAGAAAAAACGTTAAGGGGTCTTGGATTTGAAGCCACTAGAGATCGCTATCTTTAAGTTTGAAGCTAAACTGGGATGTTGTTCTCAGTGTGAATTCAAGTAAGAAATCTTTTCAAATCCTTGACCAGATCTGGACCCAACTCAAACATCAATGACCATTGATTGTGGTCCTTTTATTTTATTGTTACTATAAAGGCAGATTTACAAAGACAGGAGGGATCTGCTGGTTCACTCCCCAAGGACCGCAGCAGCTGGAGCTAAGCTGATCTGAAACCAGGAGCCAGCTTCTTCCCACAGGTCTCCCATGTGGCTGCAGGGTTCCAAGGACTTGGGGCATCCTCCGCTATCCCCCCAGGCCACAAGCTAAGAGGAGGATGGGAAGTGGAGAGCCAAGACACTAACTTGAGCCCATATGGGATACTGGTGCTTGAAAGTGGAGGACTAGCCTGTTGAGCCAAAGTGCCAGTCCCTATTGTGGTTCTGAACACATTCAGTCATTCCACTCCATTCCAATTCCAAGGTTTTTTCTTTTTTAAGATTTATTCATTTGTAGGGCCCGGTGCGGTGGTCTAGTGGCTAAAGTCCTCACCTTGAATGTGCCCAGGATCCCAAATGGGTTCCGGTTCTAATCCTGGCAGCTCCACTTCCCGTCCAGCTCCCTGCTTGTGGCCTGGGAAAGCAGTCGAGGATGGCCCAAAGCCATGGGACCCTGCACCCATGTGGGAGACCTATAAGAGGCTCCTAGATCCTGGCTTCAGATCGGCGCAGCACCGTCCGTTGCACTCACTTGGGGAGTGACTCATTGGATGGAAGATCTTTCTCTGTCTCTCTGCCTCTCTGTATATATGACTTGGTAATAAAAATAAATAAATCTTTTTAAAAATCATTTTTATTGTAAAGGCAGATCAGATTTATGGAGAAAAGGAGAGAAACAGGGACAGAAAGATCTTTAATCTGCTGATTTGCTACCCAAATGGCCACATAGCTGGAGCCAAGCCATTCCAAAGGCAGAAGCCAGGAGCTTCTCCTGCATCTCCCATTGGGTGCAGAGTCCAAAGGCTTTGGGCCATCTTCTACTATTTTCCCAGACCACAAGCAGGGAGCTGGGTTGGAAGTAGAGCAGCCTGGACTCGAATCTATGCCCATATGAGATGCTGATGCTTGGAAGGTAAGGATTTAGCCATGAAACCATAACACTGGGCCCAAATTCCCTACTTTCTTAAGGCAAAACCAAGATAAATGCATGATTGTTGGATTTATTTTCTTCCTCTTCTTTGGCAGACTCTTAAAGTTAGGCCATGGCCTTAAGCTTCACTTCAGTGGTGGGAGCAGGAAGTTGACTCTCCTGAGACCTCCCAGCATGTTATTAAAATGGAATCATTTGTACATTTTTATCTGTGTGTGTTGGCTTTAATGTTTGATAGGAGTGGTGTGATTAGAGTTTCCACTGCTCTTTTTTTTTTTCTTGGAATGAGCAAGATCATGCCAAATTAATCTCCAAGAAAGCAAATTCCATATCATTGGGTGTTAACTAAGTTACTTCTGCATGTTGGACATTGTGCTAGGTCCCCTTGTAAGCAGCAAAGACCTCTGCTCTCAGAGAGAATGAAGGTCAGCCTAGGTTTCACAGCATTTTCAGTCATCAGATCTTGCTTCTTATGTAGACTTAACGGATCATGTACAAGGGGAGTGACATGTATATAAAGCAATCTTAGATGTGACAATGACTTGGGACCTTCCAAGGCTAAATCCTACCTTTAAAGATTTATTTACTTGTATTGGAAAAAAAAAAAACCAGATTTACAGAAAGAAGGAGAGACAGAAACATCTTCCACCTGCTGGTTCACTCCTCAGGTGGCCACAATGGCCAGTGCTGAGCTGATCTGAAGCCAGGAGCTTCTTCTGGGTCTCCCAAACAGATGCAGGGTCCTAAGGCTTTGGTCCATCCTCGACTGCTTTTCCACATCACAAGCAGGGAGCTGGATGGGAAGTGGAGCAGCCCAGACATGAACTGGCACCTATATGGGATCCCAGCACTCACAAGGTGAAGATTTAGCCACTGAACCATTGCACTGGGTCCTACAAAAATCTCACTGTTTAGTATTTCATTTTTCTTGTGATTGTTTCCTGGGGGCAGGTGGGGAGGTCAGGGATGATAACAAAAGAAAAGGAGCTGAGTGCCTTGAGTGTGGACATCAGATTTGTGCTGCAGGTCAAAGGGAATTCTGCCTGGAATCTCCCGGGAAAGGGACAGCTCCTATATGGAAAAGGGATGATTCGGAAGGAGGGAAGCTGAGTCAAATTCTGCCCCTGTTGCCCAGTGGTTCTGCGTGCTTGAACACAAGCACTGCATAGCATTTGGCAATCTCAGCTTCCCGGTCTATATATAAGAGTAACAATGCAGTCATGAGAGAGTTTGCACCTGCCCAAGAACTCAGCTGGGTCCCATAAAACACAGAGTCCAGTCCCTGGCCACCGAGGGACAGCTACTCAGCAGAGGGCTAGGAGGAGCCTGGCAGGAGCCCTTGGCCCAACTTACACGGACACTCTGCCTGATTCCACTTCCCGAGTAACACACACACACGGAACATGCCGTCGTTTCACTCCCGTGATGAATGACTGCACCGGGGAAGTACCTACCAGAGTTTGCTGGTGTTGCTTTCCTACTTGATAGCCTCCAAAATGTACAATGCCAGGCCTCGCCTCTATGACCTTATTCTTCAGCAGTTTTGCATAAACCTCTAGGAAAACAAAGTACACAGGTAAAAATGAGACATACGAGGCATCAAAGGAACTACTAAGCTAAAGCATAGCCTATGAAATGCCTTTTAACGCATGGCATTTAGGGCATAAGAACGCGTTAGGTGCTGCCTGCCGCTGCCTACAAGGTTAACAGCATGTTCCACGAAAGCTTGGCTGCTGCTGTCTGCACGTCCCTTTGGAAGGCGCTGCCCTCCCAATATAGACTCAGAGCCGCTGTTTACTACTGTCTGAAGTAACAGGCTCTGCGTGTACGTCATCATCTTTGCAGCAAAACACCAGCTCACACCGAGCATGCAAGCACTGCATCTACTCCTTATGCAATGCGCTCAGCCCCAAGCACCCCAACACCAAATGATGAATATTACTAGTGTGTGTTTAACTTTCACAATCTGATTTCCTCTGAATGGAATTACAACTCTAAATAATCATCATGAAGGATGACACAGACTCAAATGGAGCCCTGTGCAATGACTCAAAGGCTAAATCCTTACCTTGCAAGCGCTGATATCCCATATGGATGCCAGTTTGTGTCCTGGCTGCCCCACTTCCCTTCCAGCTCCCTTCTTAGGGCCTGGGAAAGCAGTCAAGGATGGCCCAAAGCCTTGGGACCCTGTATCTGTGTGGCTCCTGGTTCCTGGCTTCAGATGGACTCAGTTCCAGCTATTGTGGCCACTTGGGGAGTGAACCAGCAGATGCTACATCTTTCTTGCCATCTCTCCTAAAAATATCTTATCTGCCTTTCCAATAAAAATAATCTTTAAAAAAGAAAGACTCAAATGGTTCTTGTTGTTATGGGAGGACGTTAGCTCTTGAAGTTTTGAGAGCAAGGTTCAAACAGAAGAGCTCACCATACCTATCATACCATCTGTGATGCTTTTCCCCAGCTCTGGTTTGGGCAGGAGCAGAGCTGTGCGGAGAAGGCACCCAGGTCCTCTGTACTAACACTTGTGCACCCGAGGGGCTCTGCATGTGTGCCTCTAAGATCCTCCCTTAAACTTGATGTCATTTTCACTTCATACATGAAGGCAGCTGAGTCTCGGTGAAGTGGCTTGACCACAGCAGGGGTTTGGGGGTGCCAAAGCCGATGATACAGACTCAAATAGAGCCTGTGCAACGGCCCAGGGTCAGTCTGACTCCAGTCACTGCTCTCCCTCAAAACAGACAGGTTTCTTACGGAGGATTTTGACTTTGGCTACATGCAGCGACTAAGAGCCATCCTATCACCCGCTGAGATTCTAGAATGCATCTATGCATCTGAAATGTTTGAGATATGCTTGGTGTTTTACTCTGCTCCCTTGGGCAGGGTGCAGGGCTGGAGGGGACGGAGTGTCACTGTCATGGGCTTTGGGCCATAATGAAGGACTTGGAATTGGATAAGGACGGTGGGTCAGAGAACTGCCCACCTCTGTAGGCTATTATCGGGTCTTTTTTTTTTTTTAAAGAACTGAACTTGCCATCATTCAGGAGTCATTTTAACTCTGAAAGATTTGGCTGGGGGAAGACACATAAAATGGAGGTGAGGTAGCTGGCATATTTCCTCAGAAATGGCCAAGGGCGCCAATTTACCCTCGGCAAGCGTTACAGCAGCAAGAGCCACACCACAACATTGTAGTTCTTTTTGTTGTTATTATTTCACTTTTTAAAATTTATTTTTATTGGAAAGGCAGATCAGATTTACACAGAGGAGAGACAGAAAGATCTTCCTATCCACTGTAAAACAGGACCCAACTTCGTATCTGTTTCCCTGAGCCCAAGGTGTCCTTGCCTGCCCTTTATCAAAGGGAGGGATCCAGCTGGCCTTACATACTTCTAATCACCGGACTCGAGTGGCCAGTGTTCAACTTCAATGGCCAGTGTTGTTTTAGGGTGACTTCTATAAGGGAACTGAGATCTGGGCAGAACGTAACTGCATGCGACGCCTACCTGGTCACCATCAATTCCCTAAAGAGCAGAGCATCATGGACCAATCACAAGGTCACAAGCTCCACTCACCAACCAGGAACCTTGCACATACACATCTCTCAGCCCCAATTATCTATCTACAGGAACCTTCACCCATAACTCCTCTGGGCGCCCGGGAGTGAAGTACTAGCTGCCCAGTTTCTTGATCTGCACTTTGCAGTAAGTGTCTATTTTCTTCAACTACCCCAATGTGAGTGAGGGGTTTTCTGCATGTTGAGTGGGTGGACCCAGTTTGGGGGGGTGGTCCTACAACAATGCATCCAACCAGCTTGGGGTGTTAGCCAGCAACACGGGGAGTCATTTGTGTAGAAAGAGCTGGGAATGTGGGATGGAGTTGGGTGGCCAGGCTCAGCTCTGACAGCAAAAGGGACCCAATGCCAATGAGAGAATCACAACTTTATTCTGCATGCAAGGAAGGGGGAGAACAAAGGTGAGCTAGGGTTGGAGTGGAAAGTGACAGGGAGCGGGTGTGACTGGGACAATACTGCTGGCCCCACTGGGGGTGAGAAAGCAGCAGTGGGGAACAGACACGAAAGATTTTAGGAAGTGGCAGCAATAACCCTTAGTGACTCCTTCACACTGCAAAACTCTATCACCCCAGTAGACAAATCTAAATAGAAGTTACCGTTCTTAGCAATAAAATCTATGCTGAGCCCATAAAATAATATCGGTAAATCAGCATCCAAAACCCCACTGGACTCTGGACGGCGGCCCCCTGGGACCACGTGGGGCGTTTTCTGTCTACTCACTGGATTCGAGGAGGTGATTGGACACTTCCCTTTTCTTGGGCTCCTCCACCAGGCTCTTCAGAAGGAGAGGTGTCATCGTAGGGCAGGGTTCTTTGACATTCTTGACTTCTCCACCGGGGGCACTCACCGTTGCCATTTTGTCATGAGCTCAAGGTCATTTCTCTGCAGGACACAGCAGCAGTCTAATCATTATGAGAAATCCATGCACCATCCCCCCCCTTCCCCTGCCACCTCAGCTCTTGACAAATGGACCTATTGTCACAGCAGTCACCTGTGAGCTGAGGTCCCCTGCCTCTTGGCCTTGCTGTTCACTCCAGTTCCCACACAGGGCTGTCCCATTCATCTTCTTACATCAACACAGACCAACCTGGCGTCAGGCCCCACGCTCCAAACCCTTCCGTGTGTTCTTTTTAATTTTTTTTCCAAGTGCTTTCTGCGCCTCCCCTCCTGCCCCCAATGTCTTCCTAAGGTCACTCTCAGTCAACCATGCCCCGAAAATGTTGAAACAGTGAAAGAGGGCTTTCCTTTTCGAAACATCTTCAGATAGCCTTCCTAGAGGTCTGCAACCATGGAAACATTGGGATTGGAGGAGACACTGTTGGCAGGGACACTGATGTTGGCGGGGACAGTGGCTTCAGAGGTCACCTGCGGGGGGGGGGTGGGAGGGTGTACCAGGAAGGAATGATGCTACAATTAACCAGGTACACAAACCTAGGAATATTCCTACGGGTCTTGGGGGAAGGTGGCAGGGGAGAGGGACTCTGGTAATGGAGTGGAGTCCGTTCTGTGAAGCCCCTGAACACAGCACCAAACAAGGCACGGTGGATACAGGGGGAAGGTGCTTTGTCACTTTGGGAAAAAAGTTTCTTTCAGCCACCCTGCCCCTAGGCCTTCACACCTGCCCCGCATTCACCCTGTCTCCAGCTCCTTCTCTTGGTCTCTCAAGGCCCTCTCTGGACGCCAGGCAGACAGCCTTTAGCTTCATCCTTCTGTGGGTAAGGGGTCGCCCCAGGCCCTCTCACCCACAACCACCTCCCGCTCTCCCCCATTTTACCCTTTGGGCCCGACTTCTCGGACCCGCGCCCCGGATGGCTGGGCACACACCGGGGACTCAGGGCTCCCCCAGCCCCTAGGTCAAAGGCCGCTCACCACAGGGCTGAGGAGGTTCTCTGGCAGGAATCAGCCGGCGCCCCGCAAGGGCGGGCAGCGTCGCCATGGAGACGCGGACGCGCTCCCACGGCGGGAAGCTGGACGCGACCAAATTCCCTCAGGATGTTAGGGGGACTCCGGCGGCCGTGGCCCCAAACTCAAAATCTGCATCCGGTTGCGAAGGGCTGGGAGAGGTCTGAGAAGCCTGCGTGGAAATAGGCGGCGCGACCTACGGTGTGGGAGCAGGACGGGTTTCCGAGGAGAAACGAGGCGGTCGTTGAGAGAGGAAGCTGAACCTCCTGAACACCCCACAGTGGCTCGCCCTGCAGGGGGCGGGGCGAGGCCCTCGGGGGCGTGGCCACCCACGTGCAGTGGGCGGAGCCTCCCGTCTGGCAGACAGGCTTTCTTGGGTGGCCTGGAGTGAGGCTTCTAACTTGGGGAAAATTCAAGCAAGCAAAAGCGACCGAATAAACCTCACTTCCTGCTGCTAATTGATCACCTCGTGGCCACTCTGGCTGCATCTATTACCCTCACCCCCGCGTATTCTTTTGAGGTTCCACACATCTCTTCTTCCCATAAATATTGCAGATTATACTTGCAAAAGATAAGTAATCTTTAAAAATGATCCCAACGCAGGCATCTTTAAAAAGTACACCGGTTTCTTAACGCCTTAACATATCTGGTAGTCATTCGTCCCTCGCATGCCATAAAACATTTTCAGAGTTTGCCCTTGTGCATCAGAATTCAAACCAAATTTATACTTTAAGATAGATGGGTGTGTCTCTTCACCAACAGATTCACCATCCATCTCAGCCTCTCTTTTCAAATTTTTTTTTTAATTTATTTGTGGAAATAACCATTTCTGTCCTTGATCATGATATTTAGCTGTCAGGAACATAGACCCGACCCTGGTCCCCTGCCCGGTTCTGTTCCACTCCACCTGTTCCCAACACCGATGGCTCAGGAGCCTGTCTTGTCTTGCTTGCTGCTTCTAGAGTGTGACTTGATGCTTTTTGTTGTCCATGGCTTCTTGCCTCTACTCTCCTTCCCATGCTTGCTGTGCTAAAGGTGTTGTACTTTTCTTCCCTTGAAATGTTCACCCCCCCCCCCCCGCCGCCACCAGCTTCCCATGCTCCAAAAACCTTCCTCTCCCCATCATCACCTACTAAAAACCAGTCTCTTCAAGGCGATCGCCACAGAGTGCCCAGCCTCGTGCACTGCTGGTACTGATGTCTTTGCTGGCAGAATTCTTGGAAGGAGGGGGCGTCTCTCTTTCTGGATCTCCCACAACCTTTGACACAGTGCTTTGTCGCGTGATTACTGAGCAGTTGTCCACCACAGGAGTGAGAAAGCCCGTGTGTTTATGCAATGGGTTGCTGTAGTTCTTCCTATCTTATTGCCCCAACAAAGACTGTGGATTCAAAACAGTCCCATGTTTCCCGTAGCCCCAGACCTTTCTGCCCCAACTCAGATCATGAGATATGTGTTTCTACACATTTTGAAAGTGGGTATTGGGTAACAACTTCAAAAATGATCTTAGATTGCCAAATTCTCCACCATAGTTAATACGTAGGTCCCAATGCAAGTAATTAATTCAATCAAATTCTGGGAAATGTCTGAAGCCACTGACGGTTCAAAACCCTAAACACGCTATGCTTTTCCCTATTTACATATTCCCATAATGAAGCTAATTTTTTAAACTACAGCACAGTAATAGATTAACAATCACAACTTCTTTTTTTGAAATTTAATTTTTTATTGGAAAAGCAAATTTACAAAAAGAAATAGAGACAGGGAGAAAGATCTTCCGTCTGCTGGTTCACTCCCCAAGTGGCCACAATAGCAGAAGCCGAACCAATCTGAAGCCAGGAGCCTCTTCCAGATCTCCTACACGGGTGCAGGGTCCCAAGGCTTTGGGCCGTCCTCGACTGCTTTCCCATGCCACAAGCGGGTAACTGGACAGGAAGTGGAGCTGCCAGGACATGAACTGGTACCTCTATGGGATCCCAGCACATGTAAGCTGAGGATTTAGACATTCAGCCACCATGCCAGGGCCAAGCACAATTTCATAGACTGGCACTGCAAGTTTTTTAAAACGAACTTATTTTTGATTCCTGAATGTTGCACTTAGTACTTTTCAGGCCAGGGGTTGACCACAGAGAACTGAAACTACAGAAAGTAAGGCTGTGGGTGAGGGAGAAAGGACTGTGCGGTTTAGTGAACCCTAAATCGCAGCCTCCTATCTCTAAACAGAACCCCAGCTGGGCTTGTGGTGTCTCCCAACCTCCCCAATTCCAGCAGTAGATCCAGATTCATTTGAGCCACTGTATAAGACTCACTTGCCTCTCCTGGCCCATGACTAACTTGGGATTGAGTATGAGACCAAAGTCTGGTCACAGAGGTGTTAGGAAAGACTTCTGGAAAAGGCTCCCTTTGTTTAGAAAGGCAGGATCTCTCTCTTCCTGCAGAGTGTGTAGAAATGAATCCTGGGATGGCCACAGCCATTAGTGGCCACGGAGGGACCCCTGCTTGATGGAAAAGGTGGCAATGTGAACAGGTGGGAGACAGAAAGATGTCACTCACCTCTCACCCTTTTGTCCTTGCATTCTATTAGCTATTTCTTGCAGCAGATGGCCTCAGACATAATGATTTCATTTTTTTAAAGATTCATTTTATTTTTATGGCAAATTCAGATATACAGAGAGGAGGAGAGACAGAGAGGGAGATTTTTCGTCTGCTCAATCACTCCCCAAGTAGCCACAATGTCCAGAGCTGTGACGATCCAAAGCCAGGAGCCAGGAACTTCCTCCACGTCTCCCACATGAGTGCAGGTCTCAAGGTTTTAGGCCATCCTCAACTGCTTTCCCAGGCCACAGGCAGGGAGCTGGATGGGAAATGGGGCTGCTGGAATTAGAACCGGTGCCCATATGGGATACCAGTGCGTTCAAAGAGAGGACTTTAGCCGCTAGGCCACTTCACCGGGCCTGGGCATAATTTGTAAACACTAGCTGCTCAAAGGAAACTCTGGCGTGGAAACTGATTAGGAATGTGGAATTTTGTGCTATCCCAGTCTACTGAATCAGCATCTACCCTTTCCCAAGATCTGCCAGGAGCTTCACATGCACTTGAAAGTTTTGTGAGTATCATGAAGCTCAAAACCACCTTACAATTATAAATCTTTTAGGCCATCAGGTATTTTCTCCATTCAAGTCAGTTTCACTTAGAATTTACAGTAGTAAAATCCCTTCAACTTCCAGCAAATGAATGTTTAGCATTGCGAATGGGGACAGATATGAACTCAATAAGTAATACGTTCTGGTGGGATATGAGATGAAATGTCCTTGCTTAAAACTTCTGCAAAGGCAGTGAACACAGCTGTGATGCTGTCAACCAAGATGCTGTCTGTGATGTCGCATCCCTTGTTGGAATCCTAGCTGCTCCAGCTTCTTGTTAATGTGCCTGGGACGGCAGCAGAAGATGGCCCAAGTACTAAGCCCCTATCATTCACATGGAAGGCCCACATGGAGTTCCAGGCTTCTGGCTTCAGGCCCATCCACTCTGGTGTAGCCATTTGGGGAATGAACCAGCAGATCATTCTTTCTCTTTCTCTCTCTCTTTGTCTCTGCCTTTCAAATAAATACAAGCTTTTTCATCTGTTTGCTTATTTAAAAGAATAAAAAACTTGGGCTGGCATCATGGCATAACAGGCTTATTATCATGTACCTGCAGCATTGGCAACACATATGAGCACCAGTTTGAGTTCCAGTGGCTCCACTTCCGATCCAGCCCCCTGATAATGTCCTGGGAAAGCGATGGAGGAAGTTCCAAGGTCTTGTACCTACATGGGAGACCTGGAAGAAGTTCTTGGCTGTCAACTTTGGATCAGCTCAGCTCTGGCAAATGCAGCCATCTGGAAAGTGAACCAGAGGATAAAAGATCTATTACTCTGTGTGTGTGTGTGTGTGTGTGCCTCTGACTTTAAAGCAA